TATCTTAGGGAACACATGCATGCCATTTTTTACTTTGGATTATGTGATCTCTGAAGCCACATAGAGGGGCCATAATAAAATACACTCCTGTTTGCCCTTCATTTCGAATAAGAACATTATTCAGCTGTGGATAGTTTTGACTTTCCACATGCTGGCCACTGCTTACAATTCCTTTGTTACTTCACACTTTGCGGTGTCATTTGATTCTTAAAAAGCTGTCCAAAGCTGTATAACATGAAAAAGCAACTTATTGGTTTTCAACCCTTTTCTCTGAGATTTAGCACTGATTGTATTCTAAGATTAAAAAGCAAGTTAATATCTTCGGAATAAGAGAGAAATACATCCAGTACACGCATATATAAAGCAGTACAGCTACTCTAGATTTTGTTCATCACCATCACCCATGGGCATAGAAGTTACGTATTTCCCATATGACCAAGAACAGCCATAGATAACTCCATTGTGGGAATTATTCTCATCCTTTATCAGATATATTAGAACTTGAAACCCTTATCAGATCATTACTTCCTCTTCTGACCATGGATAATCCACATAAAATGCGTGCTATCACATTTCAGCATTTATTTCTGCCCTATTCTTGCTCCCATTAAATGTCACTTCAAGGTACATACTGGAAAAGGATAATTAATATAAGAAGAATATGTTCTTTAAATGGTGCTGGTACCAGAGTTCATGCTGCCACCTGAAAGCAGCAGCTCTAAACTGGAATTTGGCTTCTACATTTTAGGCCTGTGGGGACTGAATGTACAGAGAGCTGAAGTTTTAACTTCTGGGGCATTCATGATACAGCTAATTCTCCAGGTGTATTCCTTTTAATTATTGGAATAGTCATTTGTCTGCTCCTGGTGAAAAAGGGATTGCAAGAAACCAGGCTAAGTGAAAAGCACCATTTACATTCTTCACTGCTGTGTGCTATTGCCTTGAATTACATTATTCGTTTTTTCAACCCTCAGGTAACTACAGCCTCATTCTGAGGAAAAAAAATATATTTCCTGCATCTCATACCCAGCAACAAAAGAACACTGAGAAAACATTAAGGGAGGAAGGTCAAGTCCCTCCATCTGAAACCGTTAGTAGCTAAAACATGTAGGCTGGGCTAGAGTTAACAGAAACTGCTAAGGCAAACAAACGAGAGATGGTGGCTTAAAATAATGTCAATTGTCAGCAAGTGGAAATGCAAGGCAAACTGTCAGAAAAGGTGAAATTACAGGCAGGCTCTGAGGCCTTCATAAAATGTAGAACCCACTCTTAGGAGAGAAATTGTTTGTTGGGATTTCTCCCCACCATTCAAGATTTCACAGGCTCAGCTACAATTGCTCAATATCTCTGCAGCAACTACAACTATTACTTACATGCCAAATTTTGAAAATACTTTTACTTTCTTTGAACTGAAGGAGTTGGCATCATTTGGTAAGGCAAGTTCTCCAAGGACACCACTTGAGATGATACCCTGAAGTACTGCTTCCTACTAGTAATCCCAAAGTGCACATTATTATTGATACTCCTAGACCCCTTAAAGGATGAAACAGCACCAAATCATTACAACACTGAGCCCTATTGCTTTTTTCACATAGCCATCTTTCTAGCATAAAATAGAAGAAACTGCATAGCCTACCTAGGCCCAGAGAATGAGTGATGGTTTCAAGATTCACCATAAGCACTTTTAGTATATGCAGTCGAACTCTCCATGCCTCTATCAGCCTTGCCTTCACCAACACTGAATGCATAGCATACGTCAGGCTACAAAACAGCTGAGGGGAGGGCACAGAAGGCCCATGGGTTGGGGGACAGTGAGACCTTCTCTCCTCTGGACCAGCCGGCATAGTATAAGGCCCAGATTTTGACACCAAACCATTTGCCCTCCCAAGATATACCCAAATTAAGTTAGCACCTGCAGTGCAGCATGTCTTTGTACCCCTCTATATGCCTTTGTTGCCTTGACCCAAGTGGAAGCCATCGGGACAGTGGTATTTAATCATGCCAAGCTGGGACCCACAGCATTTCACAAACCCAGGTGGAGACATAATGCTGCTAAGTACAAATTCCAGCCTTTCTGAGCACATTCTGACTGTGAAGGAGAAAGGAGGTCCAGCAGTATGCAGGTGCACTATGAGAGAGTTTAGTTAAAGAGTCCATACACAGATAAACTTGGGTATAAAACACATAAAGGGCCTGAAGGTATACAGGCAGATGCAGTAGAGAAAGAGAGAAGGTAAACTGCTGTAGGTTGAGGTTCCTCAAGAACTCGACTAATCCAAGTCCTCCCATTTCATTCTAACCTCAGCCACAAATTCCAGCTAGCTCTTGCATGCCAGTACTAGGCTGTGACCCTGCCATGGGCTGGTTCAGGGAGTTAAACCAGGTAAAAAGTAACTGCAGGAAAAAGCAGTAGCCTTCAATCAGCTTAGTTCCCTGAACTGGCTTGTGACAAGATCAGACAAATATCAGCACTGGCAAAGAGAGAGGGACCAAGGTGCAGGACCAAGCTGTGATGGCTCTGACTTAGACAGACCTAAACCTCTTTGGACACGTGCCCCTAGACAAAGAGCTAAGCTAGTCCGTGTAACACATCGCAAGCAGGAAATAATTCCCCAAGATACTGCTCACTTTTCTATTTACACAGCAAGCCCCTGCTTCAGAAAAGAAGAGTGCGTGAGTATACCTCTTTCTGAGGCAACAAACATTTTTCTTCCATGCAGAAAAATCCATCTTATTCCGCACTCCTCAAACACAACCGCCAGCTAAGCCTACAACCTGCTTGACCCTTAATTTTTCTACTGGGCCCCTAACCAGATATAAGAGCTGAACTCCGAGGGTCGTTCAGCAGGACTTAAACAGCTGATCTGATCTCTGCCAACTTTTACAGGCTTGTTGAAAGACAAAAAGAGCATTCCAGTTCAGCTCAGTTGGGTTAGCTAAACCACAGCATTCCCAACTGAGTCCAGCAGGTTTTGACTCAGCGCTATTGTTCTTAAGCACGTGGTAGACAACTCTTACTTGCTTCTTTTTTTGTTGTTTTGGTTTATTCTAAAGCATTGCCTCTCATTCCTCTCCCATCCCTGGCAATGTTTCATGGGATTTTGTGTTTTAAACACAGGGCTGTCAAAACGGACAATTCTTCTACGGATATTTCCACTTTCCTCCATAGACAGCCCTTTTCTCTTTAGAGACAGTGAGATATTATACCACTTTTGACTAAAAGATATATGATCCTTGACAGCATCTTGGCTTTACTCCAGAAAAGTACACTGTTTTATTTAATATCCATGTAAGCCTGTCTAGAAGTCACAGATAGAGACATAAGCCATTTTCCATCGATATTTCACTTACCAGTAAAAAGTTTCTACTATACTTAAATCAAACGTGCACCTTCATACTATAAGCAAACTCAATCTTAGTTTTCCTACTTACTCTTTCACAAGGCTTTTGATTTAGTTATATATAAAGCTAGTGCATAAAGCTGGGTTCATACAGTGCACCCAGCAGTCTAACCACTGACTTGGTTATCTTGTTTAAAAGACCATCATGATCCTCAGTGCTCTGTATGGTATTTACTAGTGCAACGCCACCGGTTTTGTTTTCTTGTTCCAAGACAGAGAAAACATATCCCATGTCCTACTGCCGCCATAACGTTTTGCACACTTCCTGAACACAGCTCAGATCCCACGACTACAGATTATAGCTTTGGAAGCCCCGTTTGTGCAGCCGTAGGAGTGCTGCCTCATACTCATGTTTGCTGGGCACTGATGCATTCACAGCCCTGATCCCCCAGCACGACCTCTGCCTGCGTGCTGCCTACGAGACAGTGAGCTTCCCAGTGCACCTTGCAGCCCTGGTCCCACAACCATCCCAAACGGTGTCCTTGTTGCACCTCAGCTCCTTCCCTGCCTGTGTGCACCCAGGCTTCCTTCTTAAGGAGAACAAGGCACACAAGGGCATGGTACAAACTGGCATGTCAACACAAGCAGATGTGTAGCCAGAAGCCACAGCTGTGTGGTGCACTGCCATGTGTCCTGCAACGTACATACATTGTCCTTGTGTTTGGGACAAAAGTCTTTCCTCGGAGAAGGTGTGAGGACAGCACAAGTAAAAATACCCATGCAAGCTTGCATAGCTGCCTTAATCCTGTGACCCAGACTCTCTTAGTTCCCCATCTAAACACCCTTCTTACATCCACGTGCCTTTCCTCTTTCACTCTCTGCCAGTGGTCTAAACAACCAATCTGGGCTTTGACCAGAAGTTCATACACAGGAGAAATGGAAGGGTTTCCAGCCTGTTTCCAGCCTGGGTCTCCATGCTGTTTAGCTAGGGTGTGAAATGAGGCTTCATTCTCAGAGGACATATTTGGGTCACAGTCAATGATGGAGATGACCTACTTCAGTATCCTTGGGAATTACTTTTACTCTCCGTTTCTTACTCAAGAGCGAGGCCCATGAGGTATTACCGCAATATTGCAACTGTCCCAGTAAAACCTGCCAGCCCTGACTCGATCTTGGCACCCCTCCTAATACCCCTGGAACCATTCACCTCTTCTGGCTGGGCTGCTGGCATGGGAATAGACAGAGCATCTCGGCAAGCCACACCAGGCCATCCTTGCACTTTGGTACATGCGCAGGATCAGCCCATTACACAGGGCCATTTCAGCATATGTAACGCAATTATGTCAATATCAAGACACAGTGGATTTCTCTCCAACGTAATTTCATCAAATCAAGGAAAAATGTCCTATTTCCTACAGCAGAAAGTTGACTCCCTCCCCCCGCCCCACCTCAGATACAGCATTAACCTTCTCCACTCCAGCAACCCACTCATCGAATTGCTGATAGCTACTAATTAAAAAGGTTTTTAACTGACTGTGAAACTGGACTGAGTAAAACGATGAGCATCACTGTTATAGACATGAATTTTAATTTGGATTTCTGAAGTAGGCAATCACAGCTTATATGTATATATAGAGAGACATACACATCTTTACTTACTTGTTTTTGTAGATTACACAGAGCACGGCCCTCCTGTGTGGCTACGGAGAGAATGACACAGCTCGTGAATTCAAAATTCAGTTGTCAAGCGGAAGCTGAAGAATATTTAACCCCTTAAAAATGCTCCTTCCACAAGCTAGGAAGAAGTCCATTTTGCAGGATTTGCCCAAAGAGGACAAACCACTAAAGGAAGATTTCTTCCACCCTGGCCTCTGTTGACAAGATCACAGCTCTGGACCCTGTCAGCTGAGACATCATGGTTGATAGTAGCTACAGTTTTGAAGTTCAGAGGCAGAGGTAATAAGACTTTGAAAAGAGGAACTAGTGTCAACCCTCACTAGATGACTCAGGACATTTCAGTTTTATCCTGAAGAGCTTTTTTTACACCCAAAAATGAAGCAATTGAAGCCTGGTCTAGATGGCAGCAAAAAATGCCTGAAATGCAACTTGAGTGAACCCTAGAGGCTCAATGTACAGAAGGTATTTTCTTCAGTAGCAACTGAAAATGCCATGCTTGTGTTACAGAAAAGATGCAGTCCTTTTTCTTTGAAGACAACTTCAAAAACAATTTTTTATATAAGAAATAAATGAAAAATTTTGTGAAAAGAACCTGCAATTTGCTGGGACCTGGCAGAATTGACTGCAGCACTGCACTGGCATATTCTGTCCTATTTATAAAGAGATAAAATGTTTCCCAAAAAAGTCTTCCTCTATTCATTTCTACGCAAACATGGCCCTTAAAAGGACAGAGCCTCATTTCCCTAAGGTGTCATTCTACCTCCTCACAAGTGAAGTTCTTCCCCATTTACTTCTCCCTTAAACAAACAAACAAACAAATCAAAGGGAGATATTTTTTCTACATTTGTTTTCTATCTGTCTATGAATTAATTGATTTAAACTGATAGGCCAGAGGCAGATTTTTTGGTTTTCTAAGATCTTATCATTCAAATCTTAGTTTATACAAAATGAGCAAGAGAAGTCAACTATGCCTCAGTCATCAGGGATTTCAGAGGGAAGGGAAAAATGGAGATAGTTTTCTATAATCTGGTTTTGATTCATCTCAGAGGCAAATTAGTTTTCTTTCACTCTAGCAAAGCAAGGTGTAGAACCATTTTGTCACTGGTCTCTTTTTAAAAGGATTTCTATGAGAGATATGAACTGTGCCTTCATTTTCAATCTATAGATGAGCTACAGAAGTGTTTCTTTAAAGGAAAGAGGCGTTAAGAAATGTTATTGAAATGTGGGAAAATAAATAACTTTTATCCCTCATGATCAATATCGCTAAAGGCAAGGATACTGTCAGAAGCATAAATCTGAGACAGAGCTGAAACTCCCCCTGTTGGCATCTGGTAGGCAAACAAGGGCAGTACCTGAAAACCATCTTTCCTGTATCTTCACAAATCTTTTGGGATTTATTTCAAAAGAACCAGTACAAATCTTCAGTTATTTGTTCCTTAATGCCAGCCAGGAAAAAAAGTAACCAGATCCTCTAAAATCTGTGCCACTGCATCTCACTGAGCCTTGTGTTTGGCAGACTGTGAGATCTGAAAGTGGAATATACCATCACGGTGCAGACTGGTGAGGAGAAGCTGCAAAGAAAGAAGGAAAATTAACCACAGGGTGCAGTTCAGTGCAAAAATAAAACATTAAAGGAAAAGGAGCCTCAAGCCATCCTGAGAGTTTGGGGAGGAGGGAGCAATGCCTGCTCAGTAGAAATGACAGGCATTAGGCAGAGCTTTTGCAAACAGCCTGTGAATTTATCCTTGGGTTCACAAAGCGGTGATGACACTATCAGTCAATCCATCCATCATCAAAAAAACCCCCCACAAATAAACAAATTGATCTATGGAGCTGTTCCCTATCCAATGGCAGGGGAAAAAAATAGAAAGAATCGCAGGTGTTAGTCTGTCTATGGGTAGAAAATGACTCTAAAGTCATTGAATCCACCTAATAAGCCCACTCACTTTGTGTCAGGAAAGCTACGTATCCTGGAGGGATTCTTCAGGGACCACATTTCAGTCATTCTGCCAACAGCATTTGCTGTCATTTAGAGCAAATTCCCACAGCCCTCTCTTTTTTTTTTTTTTTTTTTTGCCTTTTCCATATTTAAAGTGAAAAAAAGATGTGCTCAAATTAGTTTCTTTCTGCAGCAAATAAACTTTTAACCTGTTGGTAGTAGAATCAGGTTCCATGTTAAGTATTTTTATGGTGAATGGTATATGTTGTCGTTCAATAAATAATACACATTCCTACCTCTATGTTCTTTCTGATAATACCAGTAACTCCCTTTTAGGAAATAGATATTCTAAAAGGTGACAGTCATTAAACTGTAGTGTTTCAAAGCTGTCATTAACATAGGCTGGATTGGAATTAATGACCTGGAATGAAGTGTTAGTATCACATTACCAATCTACTGAATAATCAAGTTCCCTTTATTTTTCAAGTATTACCATAATAAGAGGAAGACGGTCCAAAATTATAATATGATAGTAAAAACGATGAATTGAGCTGATGTTTTTTCAAATACTTGTAGTTTAAATGGTATCTTTTGGAGTTGTAATGCTAATTTAGAAACTATGTCTCTAGTTACATTTCTTTTAGTAATGTATATTACCTTGTAAATAAACAAATTGATCTATGGAGCTGTTCCCTATCCAATGGCAGGGGAAAAAAATAGAAAGAATCACAGGTGTTAGTCTGTCTATGGGTAGAAAATGACTCTAAAGTCATTGAATCCACCTAATAAGCCCACTCACTTTGTGTCAGGAAAGCTACGTATCCTGGAGGGATTCTTCAGGGACCACATTTCAGTCATTCTGCCAACAGCATTTGCTGTCATTTAGAGCAAATTCCCCCAGCCCTCTCTTTTTTTTTTTTTTTTTGCCTGTCATAATTAGCTTCCCAGACCATCTTTATACACATGGATTAGGGTTAGCACAGGCAGTACTGTTCGCCTGCAGACTGAACATATGCTGTGGGTCTTCTTGTTCCTTCCTTGTATCTAATGGTTCTTCTAGCTCTTGAAATTCAGAAAAATGCATCTGAGGAAGCCAAAGACAAGAACCAACAAGACTGTTAATGCTGCAGAGCCAATACAACTGTGAGAAAACAAATCAGCACCTATTCTGCCATGTGGACCACCAATACCTACATCTGCTAACCTGCTGAGTGTAGAAACATTACTTTTGACATTAATGTCAAAACCATATGATGGCCAAGTATTTCTAGCATTGTTTGCCATACAGAAATATAGGCAGATTGCTGTTTCAAACATGTTATGGAAATTGCTGTATAAAAGCCCTCTTTATATAAAATAAAGTCACCAGGACACGGTTGAGTGATGAATTTATGTGGCTGTGGAAAGGGCTGGACAGCACAGCCTTGTGATATGTGAGATATGGGAGGAAATATCCCACCCTTTTCTCATAAAAAGCAGGAGATATAGAGGATTGCCTTAAACCATGTCCAGTGTATTCTTTCCAAGGGAGGAAGCATTTTGCAGCCAGGGTCAAACTCTGTCCCTCCATGAGTACTGAATGAGTCCTTTCCTCTACAGCAGTCCTACTGACCCAAATGCAGACCCTCCAGGAGTGAAGTGCTATCCACGACGACTGTAGATGTCAGAATCTCATTCTGCTGGATTGACCCTGCATTTCTGCAGTTCCTGCTGTAGCTGTGCTACACTAGCAGGAGGTCTGCTCTGATCTTTCTCTTCTTGTGAAATCATTATCCCAGGAAAAGCCAGCTAGTCATTAAATATTAAATGAAATTAAACTCAGTACATGCAGTTGTTCTGACAATTTATTTTACCGACAGGAGAATTTTGTTCCTACTTTTCAGATAAAAATGTGAAGAGACTACAAAAGAGTTTTAGCACTACACTAAGAAGCAAATACCATTTCTGTCAGCTTACCCAGGGGAAGAGGAGTTAATCACAGGCACACTGCCCCACAACGTACCACATCAGGAGCAGGAAATCAAGTTCAAGCATCCTCTCTACTGTCACAGTACACGCTGGCACAGAGTTTCTCACCTCAGTGCAACAACTCTTTGGCCTTCATTTCATGTTTGTGAGCCAAGGGGAGCAGACATGCATGCTACAGGCACCTGACACAGTCCCTACAGAGTTCACTCATCACTCCCCTGCTATGGCGTTTCTAAACCAGAGCAAAACCCATGTGGACTTTGCCTATGATGGAGATCATATGTAAAACAGTCATGTTATGATAAGCCATTCAGGAGGGTGCTTGGAGGTCCTACTAAGCCCCCAGAGAGTACAGGGGGGATAAAGGCATTGGGAAAAAGCCGGCAGATGGCAGCAGGCAACTAGCGTAGGAAGTGGGACCACCTGCAGGTGCCTGGGGCAGGAGGTTCCTGCAGAACAGCCCCCTGACAGCTGGATGTCTTGAGTAAGACATCTGTCCTGAGTGTCCTGCTGGGGGCCACCATACATAGACACACTGTGCGACATCTGTAGAAGCATTTGTTAGTCACTTAATTTCAATTTATAGGCATTAGCAGTGGTTGTCCAAGACACTGATGTGCTAGAAGAACGCCATCTGCAACACCACGTGTCCCCAGCGCCACACAGAAAAAGTCATAGAGGGTCTAAGAAGAAGAAGAACAAGGCTGTGGACAACCCTTACAGCAGGGTCTGTGTCTACATGGGGGCTGTTGGTCAGGAGTTTTTTTCCTGGGTGTCAACTGCAGCTCAGCAGATCGACCCAGCACTTCCTCAGATGTGAGGTGCTCATACAGCCCCACAACACTGCTCCCCTGAGAGCAGCAGTGAAGAGTCAAGCACAGCAGCTTCAGCAGTTCTGCTGTGGTCATGAAAGTCTGCTCTGAGCAGCAGCACTTCATCCAGGGATACAAATAGCCACAAAAAGTTTCAACATGGTTTCATACCCACTCATGAGCTGCACATAATGAGTAAATTCCCTTTCAGCATCCTTACATCCCTACACAGGAGTCCTAAGGCTACTGCTGGCCTGGCCTTAAGACCACTTGAGCATCCATTCTCATTTGTCATATTTTTTTACAATTAAATGCCTACTTTTGCTTTAGGATTGGTTCGGATGCTAATACATTCATCTTTATTGCTATAGAACAAGCTGTTCCTAGTTTATTAGGTTTTGTTCTTTTCTGAACAAGCTATCTGTAAATGGATT